CCCGGGACGGGAATCCCTGCCCACCCAGCCCCCAGCCTCTCTCTCTGCTCCAACGAGAAGCGTGTTCTCCTCAGATGAGCCTCAGGGACTCTCTGGCCCGCCCTCCCCTGGTTGAGGCTCCGGGCCGGCCAAGACCCGCAGCGGCCCGGTGTCCTCTGGGCTCCTGCTGCACCGAGGGCAAACCGGCCAGAGGCAGGGTGCGGCGGGCGGTGCGCACACAGGCGCTGGTCGCTTCGTCCCCACGCCAGGCACCTGATGAGGCGTTGGCTTGTTTCTCCTAGATTCTTCTGACGTAGAGCGACTGGAAAGATTCTTTGACTCAGAAGATGAAGACTTCGAAATCCTGTCTCTTTGAAAATCCCGGAGCTGGGGGACGGTTTCCACTGGCCCTCACTGGGGGCACCTTTGAGAGCCCAGACCCGCCCTGGGGCGCTTGGTGCCGCCGCATTTCATCCATCCAGCCTGCCCGTCCGCTGAGTGCCCGCGCCCCGTGCCGCCTCTGCCCTCACACGGAGCGCCCCCGTGAGCCCTGCTGCTGCTCGGGCCCAGAGGGTCTGTCTGGGCGACAAGGCGCGAGCCAGGAGCCACCGAGGGAAGCCCAGCGCGGCCGGGCCGGGAGCCCCCGAGAGCAGGGCCCGTCACACTCACAAGAGCTCTCCCTGCCACACTGCCGGCCCTGCGCTGGTGCGTCGCCTCTGCCTTGCTTCCTCCTGGGCGCTCGGTTCTGGGTTTGCTTTGGAATTAAAATCCTGTTTGAAGTCACAAGGACGTGAATTTCTGTCCTGTCCGCCTCAGAAGACCTGCAGGGCAGGCGTGTGCGGCGGGACGCCTGTGGACTCAGCCTCGGCCCCTGCCTGCTCCGCGGCCTCCGCCCTGCCACCGTGCTTTCTCAAGGGCTACCTCGGGGGGAAACCGGGCCGGAAGAGTCAACGGCAAGGCTTCTCCTTGATTTGGGAGGAAAAGTAGCAGAGTGGTGGGGCGTGGTGGAAATCCAAAGACGTCACCGTGCATGTGACTCGCTAGGACAGGGACACGCCTCGGAGCTGCAGGTCACGCCCGAGTGGGGCATGCCTTCCTCACGTCTCCTCTGTGGGTCCTGGCGTCGAAGACACACCCCCCTCCCCCCGCCGTGCTGCTGCTTTCCCGTCGCCGGCTTCCCTTGGGTCGGATCTGGGTTGGGGGGGTGGGGAGGGGGCTGCCCTGGGGCCCCCAGGCCCTTCCTCCGGCTCCCTGTCCTTCTCGGGGTTGCCTCGTGGTGAGGTTTTAGGTGGTTTGGGGCCAGAGGGTAAAGCCTAAGGCTTGATGGTGCGAGACTGGTGCCCCATCCTTCTGCACCAGTTGGAGACGTCTCCAGACCCTTCTCGTCTCTAACGTCAGCACCTGCAGCCTTCAGCCCCCGTGTTCCGGGACCAGACTGCGCCGGGCCCGCCGGGGCTTGCCAGGACGTGTCGCCAGGGCTCCGTGTCCCTGCTCGTGTGGGCCATCTGTCCTGCGCCCCATCCGTGAGGTAGAGCCTGGGGAGCCGGGAGGGCTGGCTGCAACCCTCTGGACCACACATGTGCCGCCGCTGCCGCGGGCTGGGGGCGCGGGGCGCTGCCGCAGCCCTGCCGTCGGTACGAACCGGGGGCGCGGGCGATGGCCTGACCCACGGGGAGCTTTGTTTCGTGTGTTTTGAAAAAGGCTTACTGAAGAAAATGTTCATTCCTCGTAGCGTAGTTTGCAATTCTTAATGGCAAATAATAACCGTTTCAGTAGAAAACACTTTGTTGTCTGTGTCTTGATTTCTACTGGAGGTCTAGGTGCTGTGATGAGAGCATTTCCTGGGCTCACGATGCCACAGAAAGATCCTCGGGGTGGGGCTCTGGTAGCCGGCAGGTGTGGGCAGCTCTCGTCCCCAGAGCGGCGCACGAGGAGCCCGTCCTGCCCCCGCCATCTCGTGGGCTGTGATGCTGCCCTTGGCCTCGTGGTCCCCAGAGTGAAAGACAAGGAACTCGATTTTAGGACGACGCACAGCGACTCCTCCTTCGACAAGAGAGGCTGTGGACAGTGTCTCGCGCGTGGTGTTAGCCTTGGTTTGATTCTTAATGTTTATTTTTGAGAGAGAGACAGTGTGAGTGGGGGAGGAGCAGAGAGAGACGGAGACACAGACTCTGAAGCAGCTCCAGGCTCTGAGCTGTCAGCACAGAGCCTGATGTGGGGCTTGAACTCAAAAACGGCAATGCAAGATCATGACCTGAGCCGAAGTCGGCCGCTTAACCGACTGAGCCACCCAGGCACCCCATCCTTGGTTTGATTTCTGAAAGCAGTGTCCTTCCAGGTGGGCTGAGCCCACTGGCCTCGTCCGGTCACCTCGGCACGAGTCACACAGCGCCCCCATCTGCCATCCACGGCAGCTGCCAGGGGACGAAGGCAGACAAAAGCTCCCCAGGTGAGGAAGTCCGGGAGCCTGCGCCACGGCCTCTAGGGGACACCCAGAGTAGCTTGAGCTGGAACAGTCGAAGCAGCAGCCGCCTTCTTCCCAGGGGCCCTGAGAAGGCTTCTGCAAGGCTGCTTCTGGCTGGAGGCCCCGGGCCCATGCTGGCCCACCTCCTCCCGTCTCCCAGAAGCCACCTGTGCTCCCCGGGGTGGGGCCCTCCCTCCACCCTGAGTGCCAGCGAGGGAGCGCCCTCTGAGCCCTCCTGCTGCCGCCCACTCCCCTGACCAGGACTGCCGCCTCCCCACCAGAGACCCTGTGACGGCACCGTGGGCTTTCTCCGGTCCCCTTGCCATGCGGGTGCCCCACCCAGCGCCTGACAGTCGTCTTTAGGGAGAGACCGGAAACCACCGGAGAGAAGGGTGCTCTGGATCCTGTCCCCCCCACCCACCCCTCCTTGGTCAGGCCCGCCCCTGCCACCTGGCCAGATGTTTGAAGACCCACCGTATTTCCTGGAGAAAGTTGGAATCTGTCAGACCATTTCTGCCTCCACTCCAGCCCTTCTCTTCCCGAATTCCTGTCCACCTCCAACCCCACCACGGCCCGGCGCCGAGCAGGTGGCTCCCCACGGCTTGAGTTCTAGCCTGGGGTGCAGCTGTCTGCAGCTGAGAGGTCCCCTCAGCCGCCATCGTGGCCTGGGTGTTCCGGACACAGCCTCCACCCACCACCCACTCCGCCTGCCCGACAGTCCCCACCTCTCACTAGGTGTCAGTCACCCTGGCCTGCCCCACGGCAACAGGAGGCACATGGGATGCTGGTTTGGGAGCTTCTTAAGTCTACTATTACTTATTTTGAGAGAAAGTGTGCATGTGCAAGCAAGTTGGGGAGGGGCGGAGAGGGAGAGAGAGGGAGAGAGAGGGAATCCCAAGCAGGCTCCATGCTGTCAGCACAGAGCCCAACACAGGGCTCGATCCCACCAACTGTGCGATGATGGCCAAAACCAAGAGTTGGATGCTCAACGGACTGACCACCCAGGGGCCCCCAGTTGGGGGGGGGGGGCAGCGACTGTTTTCATCA